TACACGTAGCTGACCTGCTACATACAAACAAATGCTGTGCTTCAACTGCTTCAGTATCTTACTTAAATCTCTAACAGCTCCTAAATTTCATAATGGAAGGACCATGTTCTTTTCCTGGTGATCAGAGGAACCTCACCACTGAATACAATACTTTTTATCTGTTTTGCCTGAGAATGCCTCTCTGCCAAATAAGATTAGATAACTGAGTTCAGAATAAATGTACAATTTATAATATAGTACAAGCCAGGAACATTTTATGGAAAAGATTCAAAAATCACTTGTTTCTCATTGGTTTGAAAACAGATTAAAAAGTAAATAATGGGTTAAATATTGATCTTTCAACTTATTACTCAATGATGACATTGTTGATAGAATTGGAAATAAATCATATATATGCTTGACTTTATAAATAAGAATATAATGAGTAAAACTTTCCTTGTGGTCAGTGTGGAAAGCTGCCTGTATAAATATTGTATGAAAATCTGTTGTTATTTGATGTTTTATCCAGGGCTTTTGTTGAAATAAGTTCTCCCATTTCTGAGAATCCAGTGTCATGTTGATGTCTCTCCTGCAGTTATTTTTCAGCATCATAGAATGTACCGTGCTGCTTGGAGCATTTTTTATGAATTAACTTCTTTGTAGCTCCTAATATAGTCTCTGGTTTCCACCTGATTTTTTCCCCCTTGTACCTCCAGCTCAAAGATTCATCTTGTTGTGAATATTTCTTCAAAGCAAACTGTTCATTCATTCCAGGACTAAATTATTACTTTTTAAGTAGCATGTGATAGTTATATAGGTGGGTCTATGAAAACTAAAAACCCATTCACAAAATAGCATAAACAGAAATGTAGCCAAATTTCCATCCTGGGATTATTAGATAGTTGTTAGGATAGTAGGAGATTCCATTGTACTTTAACTTTATGGGAAATTTGACCTCTTAAGGGTACTATGCTGAATTAGAATGTCAAATATAAAGTTGTTAATGTGTGAAATAATATTGACTTAGTTCAAATACGATGTTCAAATTGAGAGGATGAGATGAGAAGTCTGAGTCAACAAGGCAAAATGTAACAGGTTGTATTAGCAAAACAAATTAAGTGGGAGTTACCTGAAACTGTCAGTTTATGCTCTTGGCACCATTAGTTCCTCACTGCTGGAGCTACTTTCGTAGCTGTAATGTTTGTTCAACATTTTCATAGTTCAGTTTAACAAATTAAAGTTATTAAAACAGCGTAGTGATTTGGGGCAGATTTCTTTCACTGTATAAACAACATGTGAGTGTTTTAGGGTTATCATTTGGTTTTATAGAAGCTTCAATTCATTAAAGGGCATACTCAAGACTTCTACTGAGCACACTCAGATAACAATAATTATTCCCTAGATAGTTCATTGCTTAACTCTTGTTAAATAGTCTATATTCTGAATGTCTAAATATTGTCCACAGTTTAACTTTTTAATATAGCAGTTAATATTAGTGCTAAAAGTAACTTCAGGTGCTATATAATGAATGAGTAATGCCAAGAACTGACTGTTCCTAATTACCTATTTGAAGTTGTCATTGATACCAGAATCTCCCAAATTCTTGAATCCATAAAAAGGCAAACTTTATATTTTGATCTTTGCAAAACAAACTAACTTAAAAGTCATTATCCACATTCTAAATGACTTATCCAGAATTTGTTTTAGTAATGTGGCCTATATGTGTCCCATAAGTTATCATAAAAGAAGATAATGATTTCGGGACCGGCACTGTGTCATACTGGGTAAAAGCTACCACCAGCAGTGCTGGCATCCCATATGGGCGCCGGTTCAAGTCCCAGCTGCTCCACTTCTGATCCAGCTCTCTGCTATAGCCTGAGAAAGCAGTGGAAGATGGCCCAAGTGTTTGCGTCCCTGCACCCACATCAGAGACCCAGAAGAAGCTCCTTGCTTCAGATTGGCACAGCTTGGGCCGTTATGGCCATTTGGGGAGTGAACTGGTGAATGGAAGACCTCTTTCTCTCTCTCTCTCTCTCTCTCTCTCTCTCTCTCTCTGCCTCTCTGTACCTTTGCTTTTCAAATAATAAAATAAATCTTTAAAAAAAAGTTTCATAAAATGATATTTGTAGCAATACAAATACAGATGTTTCTCTTTTTTTGTTTTTGTTTTTTAAATTTTAGCTCCCACATATAAGGGAGAACATGTCCTATTTGTCTTTCTGGGTCCAGCTTATTTCACTCAACATGATATCCTCTAGTTGCACCATTCTACTGCAAATGGTAGAATTTTTTTTTAGCTGAATAACATTCCATTATGTATACTTAAAGCCACATTTTCTTTATCCATTCATCTGATGATGGGCTCCTTGGTTGAGTCCAAATTTTGGCTCTAGTAAGCAGTGCTGCTCTGAACATGGTGGTGCAAGTATCTCTTGGATATATTCTGTTCAAGTCGTTTTGGGTATATACCCAGTAGTGGGATTGCTGTATCATATGGCAAGTCTATTTCTAGTTTTTTAAGAAATCTCCACACTGTTGTCCACAGTGACTACACTAACAATGTATAAGTGTTCCTCTTTCTCCATATCCTCACCAGCGTTTGTTATTCTCTCTGTTTTGGATTTTAGCCATTCTGACAGGGATGAGTTGATATGTCATTGTGATTTTGGTTTGCATTTCCCTGATGACTAGTGATGCTGAGCATTTTTCATATATTTGTTGGTCATGTGTATTTCTTTTGAGAAGTGCCTATTGGAAGTCCTTTTTTCATTTCTCAACTGGAGAACAACAATGTTGTTGTTGAGTTAAGTTGCTAATATATTTGGGATATTAATCCTCTGTCAGGTGGTTTGCAAATATTTTTTCGCATTCTGTTGTCTCTTAACTCTATTGATGGCTTCCTTTGCTGAGCAAAAACTTGTGAATTTGATATAGTCCCATTTGTTTAGTTTTGCTTTTGTTGCCTGCGCTTTGGGGGTCTTGTCCAAGAAGTTGTGCATTACGCCAATGTCTTAGAGTGTTTCCCCTATGTTTTCTTAGTCTCAAGTCTTAAATTTAGGTCTTTGGTCCATCTTGAGTTGATTTTTATATATGTTGTGAGGTATGGATCTGATTTCATTCTTCTACATGTATACATCCAGTTTTGCCAGCACCATTTGTTGACAAGACTATCCTTACTCTACTGGATGGTCTGAACACTTTTGACAGTCACTTTCAAGCCTTGCTATAATACATTGTATAGAACTTCCACTAGTCTGAATGAGATCTACTTTTACCAAAGATAAAAGTGCCAAGAGTGAAACTGTAGCCTGTGATGGATATATAATGCCTCTCTTCTCTGATTATTCTTTGAATGCTGTTATCACTTACAGGAATGAAGTGACTTTTACAAAACATGTTAGGGACCAGTGGTGTGACACAGCAGATTAAGCTACTCCTTGCAATGCTGGCATCCTTATTGGAGTGCCAGTTTGAGTCCCTGCTGCTCCGCTTCTGGTTCAGCTCCCTGCTAATACAGCTAGGAAGGCAGAAGTTTGACCAAAGTCCTTGCTGCTCTGCCACCCATATAGGAGACCTGGATGGAGCTTTAGTCTCCTGGATTCAGCCTGGCCAGATCTGGCTGTTGTAGCCATTTGGCAAGTGAGCCAGCAGATAGAAGATCTCTATGTGTGTGTCTCTATCTCTCACTGTCTCTGTCTCTCTCTCTCTCTCTCACTCTCTCTGTCCCTCTGCTTTTCAAAGGCATAAATAAATCTTTTTTAAAACATTTTATAGTTTATCTTACCTCAAATATTGCTTAATTGAAATAGTGAAAGGACTATTCCTATAGAGTTGAATGTAAAAACCCAACCTGAAATTTACAAGTAGATTGTTTCTGTCAAACAATTTGACACCTCTGAGTCTCGGGCTCCTCATCTACAAACACAGAATTGGGCTATTGGAAGGATTAAATGAGATGCCATGGATAAAACAGACTCTGTTCTCTGCTGCCCTGTCCTGCACATAGCCGGTTTCTTCCCTAGAACACTGCCCGCTCTGTACCTCCTCCTGTGTTAGACATATACTCACACACGCATCTGTATACCAACCCAGTTACAGTCCTTCCTATTCATCCTGGGGATTATCCTATTGAAGCACATACCAGTCTGTTTGGAATTTTCATATTGATGTGTTTGCCTTTCCCAGAAAGCTCAAGTTATTTAAGGGAAAAAAAAAAAACAATATTTTATCTACCAGTACATGCTCATTACTTAGCATTTTGACTAGCTTGATAAATATCTGGATAAATTTAAATAACAGATCTAACATTATCTTGGGGTTCATGGTAGCTCCCTGAAAAGCTGTAATGTATTTGTGTTTTGCTTTCTGTTAGAACACAGTCAATCTAAAGTATCTCCAAATTTACAATATGTGGGCATTTGCATGTTAAGTGAAAATGTTTCTGTCACTAGTTATAACTATGAAATAAAGAAAATGTTCCTTAACTATGTTGTAATGGACTACTTGTAGTTCTAAATTTATCTTCACAATTTGTACATTATATTTTGTTTAATATTAAATATATCTATTTACTAACTTAATTTATTTTGCAAGTATCTCAGGAATTTGAACTTTAATGCTTGCATTTCATGCCATTCTTCTCCATCTGACATTATTTAGATTTAGAATAAAAAAGCTCAATGCTGTAAATTTAAGAAGGCCTATGAAAAATAATCATTTTAAGCAATATAACTAAACTTTGTTCTTTCCATTTTTTATTTTAAATGTCTTACAAATAGCAATGATAAGCAAATACTTTTGAATAGAACAAATGAAAATAAGGAAGAAATGGGGATGTTAATTCTCTGGACTTAACTTCTGTACATATGCACATCTAAATTATTTATAAAAGCTTTGTTAAGTTAAGTGTAATTATGAATTGCATAAATATGGGGATATGGAAGATGTAGAAGTAGGGTTTAGGTTTATATAACCCATTGAGACTGCTTTCTTTGGACTCATAACCCTTCTGCTTCTTTCAGGTACCGAGAACTACAACTTAGTACAGAAAGCAAAGTCACAGAATTTTTCCATCAAAGTAAATTAAAGTCTTTTGAAAGTGAACGCATGCAGCTTCTACAGGAGGAAACTGCAAGAAATCTCACACAGTGTCAATTGGAATGTGAAAAATATCAGAAAAAACTGGAGGTACGTTGTACAGTCTTCAAAATCAGCATAAGGCATGTAAACTCCCTAGGTACAGATTTATATCAAGTTTTACACTGTCCTCCACACACACAAAAAAGGAAATATATATCAGAAATATATATACTGGAAAAAAACTAGAATTGTTAGGAAACAAAAATAGGGAAAGAGCTCATTCACAATAGCAATCAAAATATATAACTACTTAGGATACTTTTAATTAGAACCATGTAGAGTATATATATCAAGAAAACTATAGGGGCCAGTGCTGTGGCACAGTGGGTTAAAGCCCCAGCCTGCAGCACCGTTCGCATTCTGGCTGCTCCTCTTCCGATCCAGCTCTCTGTTATGGCCTAGGAAAGCAGTAGAAGATGACCCAAGTCCTTGGGCCCCTGCACCTGCATGGGAGATATGGAGGAAGCTGCTGGCTCCTGGCTTCGAATCAGCTCAGCTCTGGCCATTGAGGTCATTTGGGGAGTGAACCAGTGGAATGGAAGACTTCCCTCTCTCCCTGGCTCTACCTCTCTCTGTAACTCTGTCTTTCAAAGAAATAATTCTTAAAAAAAAAAAAAAAAAAAAAAAAAAACTATAGTCCCTCACTGATGTAAATAAGAAGAAACACCATATTTCTAGAAAAGAATATTCAGAATTATACGTAGTTCAGTTTGCATCAAGTAATACTGGATTAGTTCATTTCTAATCAAATGTTAGCATGCATTTCTAATCTAATGGAGTAATTCTGTAGTCCAAGTAGAACAAAAACTAAATAGATAATAGTATTTTTAGGCTGGCGCCGTGGCTCACTAGGCTAATCCTCCACCTAGCGGTGCTGGCACACCGGGTTCTAGTCCCGGTCAGGGCGCCAGATTCTATCCCGGTTGCTCCTCTTCCAGTCTAGCTCTCTGCTGTGGCCCGGGAGTGCAGTGGAGGATGGCCCAAGTCCTTGGGCCCTGCACCCACGTGGGAGACCAGGAGAAGCACTTGGCTCCTGGCTTCGGATCAGCGTGGTGTGTCCGACTCAGCGCGCGGGCCGCAGCGGCCATTGCGGGGTGAACCAACCGAAAAGGAAGACCTTTCTCTCTGTCTCTCTCTCTCACTGTCCACTCTGCCTGTCAAAAAAAAAAAAAAGTAAATACAGAGAAAATTTATCTATGTCAGTTTAGGAATTAATCTGTTCATCTATCAATTAAAGTTAGGAAAGAAATACAGGAATAGTAAAACCTGTGTTCTTAAAAAAGTTCTAAAATACTAAAGGATAACAGAAACAGAAAAGTAATATTCGTATTATATCCTTATTTTAAAAGGTCTCTCATCAGGAAGACATAACTCTTTTCTTCTAGATAAAAAAATTAGAAAAAAAAACAGAATAAATATTTTATAAGAAAAGAAATACAAATTGCTAATAGATGAAAATTAATATTATCCACTGATAGCTAAAGAAATATAAATCTGAACACCCTTTTTACCTTTGCCTACATCTGTGTGTTGTTTTTTAAGTGCTAACAAGAATACCCTTAAATAGAATATGTCATATAATCAAAAAATAAAAGATGGGGCTGGTGCTATAGCACAGCATGTTAAACCCACTCCTGCAATGCCGGCATCCCATTTGATCACTAGTTCGTATCCCAGTTGGTCCACTTCTTTTTTTTTTTTTTTTTTTAAGATTTATTTATTTATTTGAAAGTCAGAGTTACGCAGAGGGAGAGAGAGAGGTCTTCCATCCAATGGTTCACTCCCCAACTGGCCGCAACGGCCAGAGCTGCGCTGATCTGAAGCCAGAAGCCAGGAACTTCTTCCAGGTCTCCTACACAGGTGCAGGGTCCCAAGGACTTGGGTCATCTTCTACTGCTTTCCCAGGCCTTAGTAGAGAGCTGGACTGGAAGTGGAGCAGCCAAGGACTTGAACTGGCGCCCATATGGGATGCCAGTGCTTCAAGCAAGGGCGTTAACCCACTGTGCCGCAGTGCTGGCCCCCGGAGTTGATCCACTTCTGATCCAGCTCCCACTAATGCAGCTGGGAAAGCAGCAGAGGATGGCTCAAGTGCTTGGGCCCCTGCCACCCATGGGAAGACCCGGAAGAAGCTCCTGGCTCTTGGCTTTGACCTGGTCCAGCCCCAGTCGTTGCAGCCTTTTGGGGAGTGAACTAGGATATGGGAGATTTCTCTCTCTCTGTAACTCTACCTTTCAAATAAAAAACAAATACATCTTTAAAAATTGAAGAAAAGTAGAACAGTACTTCTGAAGAATAATATGGTAATCTGTGTTAATTGCCTTAAGAAACCTGATCCATTAATTTTAAAGTAATGTTTCCTAAAGTAAAGGAGGTACTATAAAGATTTATATTAATGATGCATATGTCACAGCATTGTTTTATTATAGTAAAAATTAGAAGTAACGTAAAAGTCCAGTAGCAAATAAACAGTTTTCAATGTACATTAAATATTATTTATTTTGCTGTTTCCATGTATCGTATGATTGCATATAATCATATTGCCTATTTTAGATTTGGGTGAAACTAAATATATTGAATGATCTTGACTTGAGGGTTTGTCTTCAGTAAAAATCTTTAGTGTCCATAGAAATAATGATTTGAAGGACATACACCAAAATATTAGAGTTCAATCCTGTATAGTATAATTATTGGTGTTTTTATGTTTGTCATTCTCTCCTCTGAACTATAAATCCCATTATAGCAATGCCTATCCCTTATTTAAAATTCCAGTGTATTCCATATCCTAGCCATGGTCTGGCACATAGTTAAATCAATAGTATTCAGTACTTGGCAACTGAGCATCTGTTAAATGATATGCATTGTAGTGGGCCTGATTGTGCACACAGTTTTTAACAAAAAATTATTCCTATATGCAAGAAATAGTTTTGAACAGGACTTTGAATAGTACTTTCTGGAATGATAGAAATGTTCTATCTGCACTATCCAGTGCAGTAGCCAGTATTTCACACTTGGAATGTGCACAGTCTGTTGAAGAACTAAATTTATTTTAGCTCATCTTAATTAAATTTAACCTAAATTTAATTAGCCACAAGTGGCTAATGGCTGTGGTATTAGACTGCACACTCTGGACATTCAACCAGATAACACACATTCTTACTGTTGGGCAGTGGTGAGAACCGAAAACTTTCTTTTTGGTTTTATCATAGAAGAAAAATTGATACTTTTTTCTGGACAAATAGGAGTTCTCATAGCAGTATTGAACAGTATGTAGGCTTCCGATTCTCTGGTGAACAGAACAAAGATTGGAATCCCAATTAGTCACTGATTTCTAGATAAACTACTCATTTTCTCTGAGCCTCTGTTGCCTCATTTACTAAACAGGAATAATAGTAGTAACTACTTCCTGACAGTGTTATAGAAAGTCTGTGTGGCATATATTAGAGCACTCATTTTTAGCACATATCAGAAATTCTCAAAATATTTTGTTTCAGTGCTAAAGAATTTTGTTTTAGGTAAAGTTAGGTGATATTAGGAAAATGAAAGTATTCTTTCCTAAAAGATAAATATTTGGTAAAAAGATAAATGAAGTTTTTCTTTCCCTTTTCAGATCTCACAATAGTTAGCCAGCTGGTAAAGTCAAACATTTTATACTTCCCCAGTTTTCCTTTCTGTATATGAAAGTTTCTGAAAATGTGTAATTGTAGGTCATTAAACAGACACTGAAAAGCAAAGGAACAAAGCCAACTAGACACCTTTCCCAAGTGAAAATTAATCAGATATTAAAGCATTTTTCCCAAATTATAATGTAAGATTATACAGTAAATATCACAAAATATAATTGTTTGTAATCTAAAACATGTATATTACCTACATGTATACAAAATACCAAGTTTTCTTTTTTTAACTATTTTCATTCAACTGTCCTCTCAAAACTACTTTAAAAGATCTAACATTCTAGGAACTGGCATTGTGGCAAAGTGGATAAAGCTGCTGCCTGTGACGCCAGCATGCCAGATGGGTACCAGTTAGAGTCCCAGCTGCTCCACTTCCTACCCAGCTTCCTGCTAATGCACCTGGGAAAGCAGCAGAAGATGGCCCAAGCACTTGGGCCCCTGTACCAACATGGGAGACCTCTAAGAAGCTCCTGGCTTCTGGCTTTGGTCTGGCCCATCCCTGGCCATTGTAGCCATCTGGGGAATGAAACAGCAGATGAAAGATCTCTCTGTCTCTTCCTCTCTCTCTGTGACTCTGCCTTTCAATAAATAAAATAAATCTTTAAAAATCTAAATTAATCTGTTACTTCTTAAAATAATTTGGCAGTGTATGTTTGTAAAGATATATCTTAACTATGTAAAAAACTTCAGACACAGATTCTTATTGCAGTAGTAGAACAGAGAAGAACTAAAAATTATAAAATACTGTTACTAGAAAAGGGTCACATTAAAATATAAATATTTAAAATTTGTTGCATTTTATATACTAAATTTTCATTTAAATGTTAATATAGATGTATATAATAGAATAGTATCAAATTAATATTTTAAGGCCACACAATGATTTGGAAAATACATTTTATTATCATGTTAAATGAAAATAGCCCTTATACTCTATAAACACTAGATGTTTAAAAATGCCTGGGAGGGGGTGAGATTTTGAAGAAATCTATGGTTAAACTATTAACCATAATGTTATTAGTTGTTATGACTGATTAAGAAATAAGCATGTGTACTTTATTTCTACTGTTTTCTTCATAATAAAGTTAAATTACCTAAGTTCACATAACAGTTAAGTGATTAACTATGATTCAGACTCACATCTGCGCAGTCTAACTTCAAATCCATACTTTTAACCACAATGATATTCAAGTAAATAATGCCTAGAAACTTAAAAAAAAAAAAAAGTTCATAGAAAATGTAATTTAAAGTATGAGTTTATTTTGGTCCCAAAAAATTGATAATCCATGCATAGTTATTTCATATATGCATGTTCCATACATTACCCAAAAAAATTCGCACCAAAGAAAAATTTTGCACCAGAATTGCTCAAATTTATTTCCATTTTTCCATGAACTTTTCGAAGTACCCACATTTAACTGTTAGGCCAAGTGCCTTCCTGAGAAGTTCTCTTTTACAGTTAATTTACTGAGAAATATTTTTGTGAAAGATAAAGATTTTGGACTTTCCTGTGACTTTTATGCAGTATTCTCATTGATTATAACTTGGGGATGATTTGTTTAGTTTTTGCTTAAACAAAATCTGCCAAAACATAGGCTTTTTATATTTGTCTCTTTAAAATAGGTATTGACATATGATCTGTATTATCATTATTGAAAAGCTTACATTTCTGACAAGGATCCTAATTAGTGAAACCAAACATCACAATATGAAGGATCTCAGAAAATAAAGCCACAATAGGAAACATAAAAACTGTATTAAATGTGTGTGTGTATTTAAAGACAATAAGCAAAAGTTGTTAGTGATGTCTGCATCTAAAGTAAATCAGTGTTCAACATTTGAAGCCATTTCAAATGCCTTCTTCAGAAAACTGTTGCAGTTGATTTTCCCACGCATTTTCAGCTGAGCTCTGATTTGCAGTTTGTCTTTTGCAAGCCTTGTTTATCATGGTATAAGTTTCCTCATTCCCAGCAAAATGCCTTTCCTTCTTTTCATATTGAATCTCTGTGCTTAAGAATGTTGGGGCTGAGGTAGAATGGATATAAGGGAGAAGCTATTTATGTTGAAAATAGAGGACACTCTTCTGTCTACTTCTGAAGCAAATGTTTCACGGAACAAAACTTTGGGACAATTGAGTGTGTTATATTCAAAACCATTCTATTCTGTTGTCTTCAGTTGGTTGCAAACTGAGCTTTTTCCTGACCTCCCAAAGGTTGGGATTTGCGTTTGAAAACCACTTTGCCATAGACTCATTCACTCCACCTCTATAGAGGCAGGTGACTAGTAATTGTATTATTTTAATAGTCTTACGTGGAGAAAGCACCTTTGTTGAAATGCTACGGTTCTTAAAACTCTGGTTGGCAAAGCTAAGCTCTAGGAGAATTTCTTTACATTTTATGCCTCTTTTAAGCTAAGGCCTTGAGAGCAGTACTGCTCTCTTATTATATTCCCAGTGTCTAGCACAATGCCTCTCTCATGGTGGATACTTGATAAATATTTAATAAATGAATTTTGACTGAGGCTAATGTAGTCACTTCATTTGATTATTTGTCTCTAAGTTCCTTTTTTCTTTTTTTTTTTTTTTAAGTTGAGAGACAGAGATAGTCTCTCAGAGTTCTTATCCACTGGTTCACTCCCCAAATTCCCACAACTGCCAGGACTGGGTCAGACTACATACAGGAGCCAGGAACTCAGCCCAAGTTTCCCATGTGGGTGGCAGGAACCCAGTTAGTTGGGCTAACACCACTGCTTCTCAGGGTGTACATTAGCAAGACTTGGGTTAGGACCTGGAGCCAGGAATGAAACCTAGGCACTCTCATATATGACATGCCCATCTTAACTGTTAGACCAAGTGTCCTCCTGAGAAGTTCTCTTTTACAGTTAATTTACTGAGAAATATTTTTGTGAAAGATAAAGATTTTGGACTTTCCTGTGACTTTTATGCAGTATTCTCATTGATTATAACTTGGGGATGATTTGTTTAGTTTTTGCTTAAACAAAATCTGCCAAAACATAGGCTTTTTATATTTGTCTCTTTAAAATAGGTATTGACATATAATCTGTATTATCATTATTGAAAAGACAGGAACTTCTACTGTGAGAGCTTGACATTTAATAGATTCCTAAAAGCAGTTGACCTATTTTATACCTCTGTGTTTAAACTCAAATGTTCATATATTAGTTCTTCCTAAAGGCTCTTTACTATAATAAGCTTCTGTAAGACCCATAATCAAGTTCTTTGGCTTTTCAGAAACAGTAATAAATTTATTCTTAGAGGCAAATTCATAGGAAAGAAGAATTCTAACAACTGTTGGGAGATACCCTGTCAGAAGTTTCTTGGGACCTGTCCATGACCTGAGAAAAGAATTTAAATTGTTCTCTCTCAGTCTAATACTACTTTTAAAATCTCTACCTAAGAACACTTCATGAAATATCCTATCTTCAATATTTTGAGTGGGAATAGTCATTTAATACTACCTTTACTGATTTTCTCTCTTTTTTAAAAAAGATTTATTTATTTATTTGAAAGTCAGAGTTACACAGAGAGAGAGAAGAGAGGCAAAGAGAGAGAGAAAGAGAAGTCTTCCATCGATAGTTCACTCTCCAGTTGGCCGCAATGGCCGGAGCTGCACCAATCTGAAGCCAGGAGCCAGGAGCCTCCTCCGGGTCTCCCATGCGGATACAGGGGCCCAACGACTTGGGCCATCTTCTACTGCTTTCCAAGGCCATAGCAGAGAGCTGGATTGGAAGTGGAGCAGCCAGGACTTGAACCGACACCTATATGGGATGCTGGCAGCGCTTCAGGCCAAGGCGTTAACCTGCTGTGCCACAGCGCCAGCCCTCTTAAGCAGTATCTTAACAGCTGTGCCAAACACCTGCCCGAGCCACCAGATTCTTAATGAGTTATATTCCAATTTAGTAAAGTCCATTAAAGCCTCAGATTGACTCACTGAACAGTACTTTTTAATAATAAATTATTAAGTTTTTATAAAACACATTCCTAGTCATCAAGAATAAAAAAGAAATAATGCTAAACATATGAGTTTTGTTTTTCTGATCCAATTGGCGACACTAAAAATCATCTTAAAATATTATTCCCATGTTACTGCTTCTCCACCCTCCAGATGATTGTATGGGGATGTTTTGTCTACTTTTAGGGGAAGTTTTATGAAAATTAAAGTAAATTACATGGAATAAATCCAGAAAAAATAAATTATAACTTCTGCTTGTTAAGAACTATAAATAAGTTTTTATTGTCTGTATTTTCTCCTTTTGCAATATCACAGAAATCACACATTTATACACATTTGTTAAGGTGAAATTCATGTCATTAAAGAAAATCACTTGTTTTCAAAAGTACTTAATTACAAGGAATTTAGGATAATTACATCAGTAGAGCTCTATTTCCATGAGATTATTTAATACAAAGTTTCATAATTGCATTTATTGTTACAGTAACGGTATTTTTCAACACTCCATCTAGGCACTTTGCTAAGCATTTTGACTTTATCATTTCATTTAATCCTTCAGCAGTGTTTTAAGATATTACCTAGGATCACAGCTAGTAAGTATCAAAATCATATTGAAAACCAAATATTTCTGGCTCCAAACCAAATTCTTAACCATAATACTTTATTTCCTCGTAGGAAACAGTACTTTCCTTATGCTGTTTAACAAAGCAGGCATAGTTAGTCTAGTTCTAATAAGTAAACTACTAAGCACAAGTCAGTAAACGCTCTAGGTAATTGGAGTGGACTTTAAGCATTAAAACATTCCTTTGTTACTAGAAGCATCTCCAGATTCATTGTTCTGATCATAGAGATCCCCTCAGTGAGATATCACTGAAGGGCAGAGGACTTCGTGCTCTGCACAAAATAACTCATTTCTAAGTTTTCTATATTTTTTCCTTATACATTTTTTTGTCCTTTCTTCCTTTGCGAAGGCATTTTCTTATACTACCCTCAAGCAGTACTTAAGATTTATCTTTTGATTTGCTAATTTGAATTTATGACTATTCAGGAAACCAAAATCTTACTAAAATTATGGAAAACTTAGATTAAATAAGCTGTCACAGAAAATCGAAGGACTCATTACAAGTGTATCATTTTTATGCACATTTCTGTCAGCCTTTCTCAAACAGCTGTGAGTGCCAGATAAATGACCTCCAGGTAAGTATGACATCATTGCCTCTTTTGAATTCTAATAAGCAAATGCTAATCCTACTCCTATACCTACTTCTAAGTTTCAAATGCATTTGTATTCAGTTCATACAATAAAGAAAAGGTCTAAATAATTTTCAGTTAGAAGCAACTGACGAGCCGGCGCCGTGGCTCAATAGGCTAATCCTCCACCTTGCGGCGCCGGCACACCGGGTTCTAGTCCCGGTTGGGGCGCCGGATTCTGTCCCGGTTGCCCCTCTTCCAGGCCAGCTCTCTGCTATGGCCAGGGATGCAGTGGAGGATGGCCCAGGTGCTTGGGCCCTGCACCCCATGGGAGACCAGGAAAAAGCACCTGGATCCTGGCTCCTGCCATCGGATCAGCACGGTGCGCCGGCTGCAGCGGCGGCCATTGGAGGGTGATCCAACGGCAAAGGAAGACCTTTCTCTCTGTCTCTCTCTCTCACTGTCCACTCTGCCTGTAAAAAAAAAAAAAAAAAAAAAAAAAAAAAAAGAAGCAACTGACATATTCACCTTAGAAGTAAGTATGTTTTACTTCATTAGTTATCTCAATTAAGTGACTTTCTTTTAATATTTTATGAAAAAGAGAAAAAGCTTAAATGTATTCTGTGTCATGTTTTTGTCGTAACTGTGTCATTCTTTTCTTCTGTTAGGTTTTAACTAAAGAATTTTACAGTCTCCAAGCATGTTCTGAAAAACGCATTACTGAACTTCAGGCACAGAACTCTGAGCATCAGGCAAGACTAGACATTTATGAGAAATTGGAAAAAGAGCTTGATGAAATAATAATGCAAACTGCAGAAAGTAAGTCTCCCCCAACTCCCAGCACACACACACGTACACATGAACTTTTTTTCTAACAGTGCAAGAAATCTTGCATCATTTCTAAAACTGTTGGTATATAGTTCTTTAAAAAAAAAAAAAAGATTATTTATTCAAAAATCAGAGTTACACAGAGAGAGGAGAAGCAGAGAGAGAGAGTGAGAGGTCTTCCATCCAATGGCTCACTCCCAAATTGCCCACAATGGCCAGAGCTCCGCCGATCCAAAGCCAGGATCCAGGAGCTTCTTCTGGGTCTCCCAAGCAGGTGCAGGGGCCCAAGGGCTTGGGCCATCTTCTACTGCTTTCCCAGGCCATAGCAGAGAGCTGGATTGGAAGTGGAGCAGCCGGGGCTCAAACCAGCGCCCATATGGGATGCCGGCGCTACAGGCCAGGGCGTTAACCCACTGTGCCATAGTGCTGGCCCCCGGAATTTAGTTCTTTAAAAAATAATTGCTGTCTTTTTTAAAGAATATTCTGTATTTTAAATAGTAGTTCATCTTCATTACAAACTCTTGGAATCAAAGAAGAAATAAAGGGGTAGACGTTGGGCCTGATGGTTAAAACAATATTTAAGACACATATTAAAGATGCCTGCATGAGATTTTGGAGTGCCTAGGCTTGAGTCTGGACTTTGTCTTGACTCTAGCTTCATGTTAATGCGATCCCTGAGAGGCAGCAGTGATGACTGAAGTGATTGCGTTACTGCCACCCATGTGAGAGTTCCATGTGGAGTGAGTTCCATGCTCCCAGCCTCAGCCTATCCTGAAGCCATTTCAGCCATTTGGGGAATGAACCAGAGGATGGGAGCTCGTGCACTGTCTTTCTGCCTCTCAAACAATGTGATTAATTTTTTAAAAAGAAGAAAAAAACAGATTAAATATGATTTACTTATTTATTTAATTCATTCATTCAGTAGGAATTGGGGATATGGAGTTCATGCAAGTTATTCTCGTCTCACAGGAGTTCCTAGTGTAGTCTGTTGGGAGAGACAAGCATTGCTATAAGCTAGAGATAGGCAATTCTCAGTGAAAATACAGAGATCATGATTTAGTTTCACTTTGGAGGTGAGGAATATCAAAGAGGGGAGATGATAGTTAAATTGAGTCTAGAGAGATGAGTATACATTCTTATAAAAGTGGATTTAAACTTCAGCTGCAATTGCATCTGAGTCTAGGTGAGGTTCTAATTATTTGGGGGCATTTTTATGTATGAATTATATTGATGGGTCAATTTAAGGAAAACTTAGTTCATTCCTGTTGTCTTGTTTTCTACTTCCAAGGACAATATCTGATGACTACAGTAGAATCCAAAATTATCCTCTGTTTCATCTCTAGAGTCATAGTAGTCTTCGTAAATCACAGATTTGATCATAGCATCTATCTGCTTTGCTCTATGTTGTCTTCATAAAAACTACCTAAAAGGAAATTCCTTAGAATGAGTTTTTATGATCAGACTCTTGTTAATCTTTCTGCTTTTCATGTCTTGCCATTTCCCATAATATCATATTATTTTGAAAGTTACATACTTTAGTTTCTAAACTCCAACGTTTTTGCACATATTCTTTTGTCTAAACAAATTACGAATAGAAGATAACTTACTCAGTCTGATGTAGGCGTGTACAAGAAAGCTATAACTAATAAAATTTTGATTGGTTAATGAATGTTTTTCCCATTAAGGGAGAGAATAAGACAGTGATTTCTAAATTGTGACTTATTAAATTTTAGCTCCTATTCAATTAAATAAAACCAGTAAAAAGAAATAAAAAGTATAAAGATCAGAAAAGAAGAGAAAGACTATATTTTCAGGTTATAAAACACAACTAAAATTGATAAATTTAGCAGGATATAAGGTCATGACATGAAAATATACTTAGATGCAATCAATTGGGAATGTAAATATGAAAGGTAATTTGATTTACAAAACAATGTCAAATTAAACAAAATGCTAAGAAACAAATTTAATAAAGAAGAAACCCACAAAACATTGTTAAACAAAATTACCCCAAAATCAAGAAATAAATCGTGAATGCTATAAATTTAGTGGTGTCCCAATCATAATGCCAGCAGGCTTTTTTTTATGTTCCATTTATATGGAAGTACAAAGGACCTATATTAGCCAAAGCAATCTTGAGAAAGGGACAAAGTTAGAAGGTATAAACTGCCTGACTCCAAGACTTACTATAAAGCTAGGATGTCTAACTGATACAGTATACCGTGGTATAAAGAGAAACAAATACAGTGATAAACTAGAGAACGCAAAAACAGAGCCTTCCTTAAATGATTGATTTTTTTAATGTATTTATTTATTTTAAAGGCAGAGTTACAGAAAGAGGAGGAGAGACAGAGAGAAATCTTCTATCCAATGGTTCACTCCCCAAATGACTGCAACGGCTAGGGCTGGACCAGGCCAAAGCCAGGAGTCAGGAGCCTTGTTCAGGTTTCCCACATAGTGGCAGGGGCTCACATACTGAGGCCATTCTCCACTGTTTGCCAAGGCACATTAGCAGGGAGTTGGCTCAGAAGTAGAGCAGCTGGGACCCAAACTGGAACCCATATGGGATGCTGGCATCACAGCTGGCAGCTTAACCCGTTATGCCACAACACCAACCTCAATTATTTGATTGTTAACAAAGACAACAAAATAATCAATTGGAGAAACGAGTTTGTTCAATAAATGTTGCTTAAAAATTGGACATCTTTATGGAAATGAATCTCAATATACCAGTGTTAATTTGAGATGAAGTCTAATTGTAGTAGCTAAAATTAAAAACCTTTAGTAGAAAATATAGTTGAATACCTTTGTAACTGGGGGTCAGCTAAGAGTTTTTAGGCCCTCACAAGCATTCACAAAAAGAAAGATTATTAGATATCGGGGCCGGCACTGTGGCATAGCGGATAAAGCTGTTGTCTGCAGTGCCAGCATCCCATATAGGCACTCGTTCTAGTCTCGGCTGCTGTACTTCTAATCCAACCCTCTGCTATGGCCTGGGAAAGCAGTGGAAGATGGCCCAAGTCCTTGGGCCCCTGCACCCACATAGGAGACCTGGAAGAAGCTCCTGGGTCCTGGCTTCTGATCAGCGCAGCTCCAGCCATTGCAGCCAATTGGGGAGTGAACCAGCAGACGGAAGACCCCTCTCTCTGCCTCTCTCTCTGTGTAACTCTGAATTTCAAATAAATAAGTAAAAATCTTTTTTAAAAATTAGATATCAATGTGTAAAACTTCTGTTCTTCAAAAGATAGCATTAAGAAATGAATAGCCAAGCCCCAGGCATAAACAAAATATTCATAATTTTGTACCTGAAAAAGGAATGGTATCCACAATAAGAAAATACTTAGGAGAAAATGTTCACAAAATGTAGACTAGAAAAAGAACTGATATCTGAGTAGGCTGGAAAATAATCTCCCAAAGATATACCTTTCCTAATGCGTGAAATTTGCGACTATTTTACCTTAGATGGCAAAAGAGACTTTGCAGATATGATTAAGTTAATGCTATTTTTGATTAGCTTATTTATATGAAGGGCAGAACAAGAGGTCTTACATCTGCAGGTTCATTCCCCATATGTGTGCAACTGCCAGGACTGGCCAGGAGGCCAGGAGGAGAAACCAGGAGGCTGGAATTCAGTCAGGTCCCCCATGAGGGTGCAGGGATGCAGGTACTTGAGCCATCACACTCTGGCTCCCAGGGTGAACATTTGCAGAAACTGGATTGGAATTAGAGCTTGGACTGGATTCCAAGCACTCTGATACAGAATGGACCCCAAGCAGCATCTTACTGGTACACTAAACACACTTCTCCCCCCTCCCCCCACTCCCATTAAGGCTCTTGAGATGAGATTATGTCAGATGATATGCTTAAAGCCAGTAGAGTCAGAAGGGTCCTTATAAGAGAAAATGTGATATAGTGATGAGATCAGAGAGAATCTGAAGATGCTGCACTGTTGGCCTTGGACATGGAGGATGGTGCTAAGGTTAGGCATGCAAACAGTCCCAGAAACCAGAAGAGGCAAGGAAATGGATTCTCCCCTGTAAATTCAAGAAAGAACTTTAGGCCAGTGAGACTGACTGATTTTTGGACTTCTGACCTCTAGAACGATAAGATAGTAAACTTGTATTTATTTAAAGCACTCATATAGCCCGATGATAAAAAGAAATTTATCCATTTTGAAACTAGAGCAGGGGCCCGTGCGGTTCAAGTCCTGGCTGCTCCACTTCCAATCCAGCTCTCTGCTAATGGCTTGGGAAAGCAGTAGAAGATGGCCCAAGTCCGTAGGCCCCTGCACCCGCATGGGAGACCCGGAAGAAGCTCCTGGCTCCTGGCTTTGGATCGGCTGAGCTCTAGATGTTGTGGCCATCTGGGGAGTGAACCAGTGGATGGAACACCTCCCTCTCTCCCTCCCTCTCTCGCTCTCTCACTCTCTCGCTCTCTCTCGCGTGCTCTCTCTCTCTCTGCTTCTCTGTAACTCTGCCTTTCAAATAAAATCTTAAAAAATAAATAAATAAAAGAAAAGAAAAAGAAACAAGGGCAACAAGTTCAAGGGTACAGAACTTTTTTCTGCCAAGGACTATTTGGATATTTTTCATGGGCCATACAAAATTATCAACTTAAAAATTATCGTGCCATATAGATTTATTGCCTTGTCAGGGTCAGACTCGATGATTTTGCAGGCCTTATATGGCCCATGGGCTGAATGTCCCCCACCCCAGAACAAAACACTTACATAAGAAGATGTGTGACTGGCCAATAAGCAGAATAAGACTATCAACATTATTAGTCATGAAGCAAATGCAGATTAAAAGCCTGATGAAGGTACCAGTGTTGTGGCATAGCAGATTAAGCTGCCACCTATGACACCAGCTTCCCATTTGTGAATCAGATAGAGTCCCGGCTGCTCTACTTCTTATTCAGCTCCCTACTAATGGCCTGGGAAAGCAGCAGAAGATGGGCCAAGTACCTGGGCCCCCTGCCACCCATGTGGGAGACCCAGATGAAGCTCCCAGTTCCTGGCTTTGGCCTGGTGCAGCTCTGGCTGTTGCCACCATTCAGGGAGTGAACCAACAAATGGAAAATATCTCTCTCTCTCTCTCCCTTTCTCTTTCTCTCTTTCTTTCCCTCCCTCCCTCCCTCCCTCCCCCCTCTGTATGTAACACTGCCTGTCAAATAAAAGTGAAATAAATATTAAAAAAAAAAAGCCCAATGGAAATACTACTATACATCCACCAGAATGGCCAACATTTTTAAACTGGCAATTCCAAATGCTGATGGGAATGTGAAACAACTGGCATTTTTTTAATGAAATAACCAAATAATTCAGTGATGTAACAATTTCATTACTAATTATTTATCAATGATCAATGAAAGCATATGCACAGAAAAAGCCTTATAGAATCTTCATTGTTGATTTGTTCAAAACAGTGAAAATATAGCAACAGTTCAGGTGTCTATTACAGGAAAATGGTTAAACAAATCATCATACATTTATAGAGGAGAATCTGACTCCTCAATAATAGAAACAAGCAACTGATTCACTCAGCAACATGAGATAAGTCTGAAAACATTATGCTTAATCTAAAGGCCTTTCCTGAAAAAGTTCATGTGGTATGATTAAATTCTATGAAGTTCTAGAATAAGCAAACTATGTTTGGTGAAAAAAATTACAACAGTGCTTGTCTCTAAGGATGTCTGTCATCACAGTTAACAGGGAGAAGAGTCGTGACGGGACTTTCCAGAGTGTTCAACATGTTCTGTATATCATGACTTATGTTACATGTGTGTATGCATTTCAAAACTTTTATTAGTTTCTAAACCTCATTGAATGGTAGATTTAAGATTTGTATCTTTCAGCATATGTAAATTTTGTTTTATGGAAAGAACTGAAGGTAGATACTGAACTGTAATTGATGATTTGTATGCTGAGCTAACTGTTCAGAAAGTGAAATGTGCAGATGTCGGTAACTTTGGAATGCATCAAAAGTAAGATACGCAGGTGGGTAAAAGGATAGGTGGATGTGTGATAATCAAATGTAGTACAATGTTTAATTTAGAATCCAGCATATACAAGTATATACTATACAGTTCTTTCAGCATTTCCAAATGTGTAAATATTCCTTAAAATCTTTAGGAATATTTAGAAATTATCTTTTATTATGTTGTCTAAATCATCTTAGAATAAAATATGTGCACTTATACTGAAAGTTCAATAATTAGGTTCTTCTTTATCAGCTCACATTGGAAATTATATCCTATTCTTAATGAACACTTCTTGATTAACCAAAATTTCATTTTTAATAGCATAATATGTACATTTTTCAAAGGTTAACCATCTAATTCAACTAATGTCAGCAGACAAAAAGATAGTTAGGCTTCCACTATGGAAAACAGTTTGGAGATTGCTCAGAAACCTTAATATACCCTACCACATGACTCAACCATCCCAATCCTTGGAATTTACCCAAAGGAAATTAAATTGGCAAATAAAAGAGCTGTCTGCACCTCAATGTTTATTGCAGCTCAGTTCACAATAGCTAAGACATGGAATCAACCTGAAGGCCCATCAACAGAAGACTGGATAAAGAAATTATGGGATATGTACTCAATAGAATACTATACAGCAGTAAAAAAAAAATGAAATCCAGTCATTTGCAACAAAATGGAGGAATCTGGAAAACATCATGCTGAGTGAAATAAGCCAGTCCCAAAGGGACAAATATCTTATGTTCCCCCTGATCGGTAACAATTAACTGAGCACCTAAAAGGAAACCTGTTGAAGTGAAATGGACACTGTGAGAAACAATGTCTTGATCAGCCCTTGTCCTGACTGTCAAGGAACAACTTACTATTTTACTCCTTTTAGTATTTCTCTAGTTCTACTTAATACTATTGGTTGAACTCTTTAATCAACACACAATTATTCTTAGGCATTTAAAATTAACTGAAAAGTGATCCCTGTTAAATATAAGAGTGGGAATAAGAGAGGGAGAAGATGTACAGTTTGACACATGCTCACTCGGACTTACCCCTAATGATGGAGTTAGAAATGTGCCAGGGGATTCCAATTCAATCCCATAAAGAAGGCATGTACCAATGCCATCTTACTTGTTAAAGTGATCAGTTTAAGTTCATAATTGATCAAAAAGATAGGATTAAGTGTCAACAGGATTACATAAATAAGATAGAATTAAAAAGGAGAGAATGATCCTACATGGGAAGCAGGATACACAGAAGACTCATAGAATGTCAGATGCCCTAAACAGCACTCTGGCCTCAGAATCAGCCCTTAAGGCATTTGGATCTGGCTAAAAAGCCCATTAGAGTTTTGCAAGCATGGAAAGCCAAGACACTATGGCAAAAAAAAAAAAAAAAAAACGAAATGAAAGATCTCTGTGAGTGAGATCCCAGCGGAAAGAAACAGGCCATCAAAGAAGGAGGTACCTTTCTCAGAAGGGAGGAGAGAACTTCCACTTTGATTATGGCCTTGTCTAAATAAAGTCAGAGTTGGCGAACTCAAGAGGCCTCCGTAGCCTTGGCGGCTCATGACAAGAGCCTTGGGTGATTACTGACATCATAAATAAGAGTGTCAATTGTTAAATCAACAACGGGAGTCACTGTGCACGTACTCCCCGTGTAGGATCTCTGTACTTAATGTGTTGTACTATGCAAATTAACAGTAAAACTACTACTCAAGCAGTACTCTATATTTTGTGTGTCTGTGTGGGTGCAGTCTGTTGAAATCTTTACTTAGTAGATACTAAGTTGATCTTCTGTATATAAAGATAATTGAAAATGAATCTCAATGGAGAATGGGATGGGAGAGGGAGTGGGAAATGGGATGGTTGCGGGTGGGAGGGAGGTTATGGGGGGAAAAGCCGCTATAATTCAAAAGTTGTACTTTGGGCTGGCGCCGCGGCTCACTAGGCTAATCCTCCGCCTTGTGGCGCTGGCACACCGGGTTCTAGTCCCGGTCAGGGCGCCGGATTCTGTCCCGGTTGCCCCTCTTCCAGGCCAGCTCTCTGCTGTGGCCAGGGAGTGCAGTGGAGGATGGCCCAAGTACTTGGGCCCTGCACCCCATAGGAGACCAGGAGAAGCACCTGGCTCCTGCCATCGGATCAGCACGGTGCGCCGGCCGCAGCGTGCCAGCCGCGGCGGCCATTGGAGGGTGAACCAATGGCAAAGGAAGACCTTTCTCTCTGTCTCTCTCTCTCTCTCTCTCTCACTGTCCACTCTGCCTGTCAAAAAAAAAAAAAAAAAGTTGTACTTTGGAAATCTATATTTATTAAATAAAAGTTGAAAAAAAGAATTACCATAACACAAAATGTGTATGCTGTTTTTCCAAAAGTAACATCTTTAAAGAGACCATACAAATACAAGAAAAGGATAAACTAACTGCATTTAAGTTTTTACTGTTATGTAGGTTGTTACAAAATTGCATACTGAAATAGTCTTTTTTTATATAAAACTACTGCAGAACTCCAAGAAAAAAGAGAAAAAAAAAAGATAGTTAGGCTTCATTTATTAAGAAATAGCCATCACAAATTACAGAATCCTGTTTACCTCTGAGTTACTTTTTCTGAGCAAGTAAATGTTTGATTTGGATATTTGAGTTTAGTTTTCAAATATCCTATCAGGTTGCTAAAAGCTCAAATATTGCCTAAATACCAAATAAATCTGAAAGAATGTTTTTAACTGTATTTCTGGTTGTCAAATTCAGAGTTGCCTACCCCTCCCTATCATACTTGTAACCTCTGTTAGGTATTTCATACCTTCCTTAGAACTACGTTCTCTTGCTTCTTGATTCACCTCTCTGTTTCTTCTCTGTTACTCTTGTCTCTTCTGCCTGACACTACCACTATCTACTCCAGTAATTGTTTCCAGCAGGGTTTTCTCTTGTTCTCTTCAATTCTTAAATACTTAGCCAACTTTCTAATCTACTTTGTAGGTGATCTCATTCTTTCTACAGTTTCTCTGCCATATACTTCTAAGACATGTTGTTCAAGTCTTTTTTGCTAACATTTGTCCTGTTGTGTATGTTGTTTCTGTAAGTGAAGTGCTGCTACAGTAATTATCCCCATGTATTATTAAACTCAGATTTAGCACGTCCAGCTGATGGGCTTTTGAGGTCTGAACTAAATTTACCCCCTCCCTTCTGATTTTAGAACTATTTAGAGATATGAGAATCAGATATGTGTGTAAATGCTAGCGCTTTTTCTGATAGAGTTGAATTGGATAAATTATTTTGAATTGAGTTGTCTGATACCTGATGAACAGTACTGGCAATGGCATGCGTCATCCATTTTGTCCTTCCCATTTGTCCCTTCCAGCTAATAATCCTACCTTTAAAAGTTGATCCTGATGTACTGTGAAAAATAAGGATAAAATTAAAGGAAAACAGTTTTATTCCTAAATCTTTCTCACAGGAGGATCAATCAGCAAGTATGTGCATAGTACATTGATAAGCATACAAATAGCCAAGTTTTACTTCTAGGTCTAAAATAAGATGGTTTTGTTTTAAATCTGAAACACTCCTCCTGAAAGTAGGTTTCTCTTTCTCTCTCTCTCTCTCTCTCTCTCTCCCCCTCCCTCCCTCCCTCCCTCCCTCCCTCTTTAAGATGCATTTATTTATTTAAAAAGGCAGGGTTACAAGAGGGAGAGGGGGATGCGGAGGCAGAGAGAGATCTTCCATCTGCTGGTTCACTTCCCAAATGAACCAGCTTCCCAAATGAACCAAATCGCCCAGCCAGGGCTGGGCCAGACCAAAGCCAGGAGCCAGGATCTTCTTCTGGGTCTCCCATGTGGGTGGCCCAAGAACTTGGGCCACCTTCTACTGCTTTCCCAGGCCCATTAGCAGGGAGCTGGATTCGAAGTGGAGCAGCTTGGATGGGAACCAAACCAACAACCATATGGAATGCCAGCACTACTAGACCACAACACTGACCCCATAGGTTTGTCTTTTTAACATTAAAATTATAGTTGCTAATCAACATTGCAAAAGTTTTTATGTCATTTTGACTGCTTTCATTTGAGGTGGTAAAACTTTAGTTTTTATTCCCTTAAATATTTTTAAGCCCAACTTGCAATAAAATTTCATTGCATTTAAACTTTTTACCCATATTATGTTAACCTGATAGTTAAGATTCCTTTTGGGGAGTAATATGATAATAGTGAAATTTAGAGGTAAATTACTTGGGGTAAATATTTTTTTAATTTTCATTTTATTTAGAAGGCAGAGAGATAGAAAAATCTCCTTTCTGCTGATTCAGTCCCCCAAATACCTGCAAGGACCAGAGCCAGTCAAAGACAGGAATTTGATACACAGGTAACAGGGACCCAATTACTTGAGTAGTCACCTGCTGCCTCCCAGGATGGGCATTAGCAGGAAACTGGAACTGGAGCTAGGACTCTGATACAGGATGTGGGTGTCACAGGCAGTGTCTTAACTGCTGTGCCAAATGCCCGCCCCAGCCCTGAATATTTTTGCAGTTAAAAAAAGTAAGGCCATCAATGGATGAGTTGCATATTTTCTTCACATAGTAGCCTACGTAAGTGCATAATTTCATTATTACATGTTAAAATGGAGTTGTTTCATTAAGATAATGAATATCTTCTAATTAAAAAGACATTTCTTTCATAAAGAAACAATGAAATTCATGTTGTTATGTGCATATAGCATACATTTTATGAGAAAAAAAGCTTTGAATCCGTCAGAATTTTGCTTTATAACAAGAAATTCAACTTGTCACATTATGCAGTCCTTTATGCCTTTTAAAATTAAATGGAACAGTTTCAAGCAAGGATATACTTTAAGAAATATGCTTGTACTTACAAATGAGTTTGATATTATGCATTAGTCCTTTTTATGTTTTTATGCTTCCTAATTCATTATCATAACCTCTTCTATTTTCACTCCTGTCATGGTTTTTAGGAAGAAAAAGTTAATTTTACATCATAAACTTTATGTTTTCCAGTTGAAAATGAAGATGAAGCTGAAAGGGTTCTTTTTTCCTACGGCTATGGTGCTAATGTTCCCACAACAGCCAAAAGACGACTAAAGCAGAGGTAAAATCAATATATATTTATTTGACTTATGTACTCAGGCTAGATGTAATTACATTGTGCTTTTTGATAATATGCTGAGTTGGATGACAAGGTGAACTTACTTTATTCTTGGACTGCATAAATATTAATTTTCTCACAAAATAAAACACACTAAGTAATAATCATGCATTTCATGTATATTTAAGTGAGTACAATAGTAAAATAGAGGTGTACATTAGAATTTTCATAGAATTTGAGTGATAAGGCTGTCATTTTTATTTTTGTTTCACATTAATTTCAGTTGAGTTACAAATGCTTTGTATCAACCATTTTCAGGTTAAAACTAATTATGCTTCCTTTTATTTCTTTGTGTCTGGTTTTTTTGGTCATCTGCCTGTATTCCTTGACATACACTTGAGAGAGAGGGAGAGAAAGAGAGAGAGAAATCTAAGGTAGCATATTTATTGTGACTGAAATTATAAAAGACTTTGTGAATAGAAGGAAAGTTTTTGGAAGATCTACTAGTTATCTTAGGAGGTACTACTTTAAAGTACCATAACAAAAAATTGTACCAATGTCAGTCAGTTTCTTGGTTGGCCTACCTGCTATTTTCCTAACTCCTCTCCCAGCTAAATTCATCCTACTTTGCCAAAACATCTCACTGCCCCATTTGCTAACACAGCAAAATGGAATGTCTCCGCCAGACTTCTAAAGCCCTCTGTAATGAAGCCCCACCTCTCCAGCCTTATTTACCCCTCCACCTCATGTGAGGATAGGTCTGTCTCTTTGCCTGTGAATATCTATTTTCTTCTTACCACACAACAAAACATTTCTCTTAACTCATTAGCTGCCATTTCCCAAGTAATTTTCCCAACAAGATGGAAAGTTCTCCAAGGTGAACAACCACATCTTAGTCTTGTTTTTTCCCAGCTGTCTACCTAGCAGGATGACTAGTAGAATTTCCTCTTCACTGAATATCTAAAGACTAAGGATTCAAAGCTGCTTGCTTGTCTCTTATTTTTATGTGAATTGATTAAGATGTGCAGAAACACTCCACTCTGTGTAAGAGAAATAATCAATCTCTTAATTTTCATGCTTTTGTAGAAACTTTGAAGTGATGGCTCCAAGAATAAGATTTCTTTATGCCTTCCTAAGGAGAAGTAAAATATAAAATGTTTTAAGGGAAGTAATGAAGCAATGCTTAGAACTTAGGTTTTTACTGGTTAAACGAAGTATCTGTCAAATTTGGATCAAGGATAGATGAATGGAAAATGTCAATTTGTAGCTGGAATGATTAACTCCATCTGGTAAAGATTCAAGTATTTCTGAATTATGTGTGTCTTATTTGAAAAATTTGTTATAGCCCTAACTCTTACCAGTTGCTTCAAGATCACTAATTGGTGACTTAGGATATTTTGTGATTTTCAACCTATCTCTGTTTTTGAGTGTGATGTTGCCTAGGAGAAGCAGAAATATAGTTTAATGGCTAAAACAGTTCTTTATCTGTGGTAAAGATTGATAACATATTAAAAATTAGAAATCAATGGGAAAAGTCCATTCTCTTCTCTATTTTAGCATATGAATCCTTCTAGTGACCCTTTTTAAAGAAAAAGAGAATTTTGTTGTGTAAACTTTCTTTAGCCCCAATTGCTGAGTTCCTCTGAAATTCGAAGTAATGATTCTTGTTATACCAAACTGTTTTTAAAGAGTTTCCAAAAACAGAGATTGATTCCTTTAATATTTAGGGTGAAGACTTAAGGAACCACATCTGATTCATATTCTAAATAATCTTAACTGTCCAAATATTTCTAAAGATTCTATCACTGAGCTATCTATGTGCCTTGAACAAGTGCCTAATGGGTGTGCTATTAATATCTCCTGCCAGCTGGTGCCAGGCATTCTTCTCATGGTGAGCCAGAGGGTTATTTTGAGGAAGTGCTTCTCAGGTCATCTAAACTGAGGGAAGGGAAAGTAAGTCTAGATATCCAAAAAGGACGCTTATGCATTCCTAAACCCATTCATTCAAGAACTTTTCTTGAGTGCCTAATGTATTCACAAAATTGGCCAGTGGCACGGAAGGGTGGGATGCCTTTGTGAAGTTTACAAAACGCGTATTTGATTTCTTAATGGGTACGTGAAAAGAAGGCAGTGCCTTTGTGCTCTCTTTAATTTATTTAAAATGAAAGCAAAACAGCCTTTCAGAGAATCAGTACTTAATCCTTCAAATTTGAATTTAAAGCAATAGAAACTTAATAATGAATTATAAAATTACTTAGAACAGTAAATGAAATGTTTGCATAGTAAAGTTTATATTACACATGTCTATACCAAAGATACATCAAAATTTCAAAGAATTTTATTTCCCAAGTACTGCCAAAAATATTCTACCCATTCTAAATCAGATTTAAAATCTCATATATTTATAACAGCCCAAATCAGATATTTTAGAAGAATACTTAATTAGAGGGAGGTTTCTGATTACAAATATATGTTTGTTTTACAAAATTAAGAAAATTACTAGTAATTCTACCACCTAAAATAACCATTCAGAAATGTACATGTGTGTGTAATTTATTACATATTTGGAATTTCTTGTGTGTAATTTAGTTTTTATTTTTATCATCCCATCTTGAACATTTTCTTAGCATTGAATATTCTTCAAAAAGATCATTTTTTTAATGATTATCTAAAACGTGAGTTTCTAGGACTTCTGGTTTTGAATGCCATGTTGCTATTAAATTTGATAGTCACTGAAAAATGTCATTGGTTACCTGTTGCTACTCAAGAGATGCTATGAAGTTAAGGTGAAAAATGATGTGATGCCTACTACACGGTGCCTGGCATAAAGTAGATATTTGGCAAATGCTAATTTGTCACGCCAGCTAATATGTTCTTAAAGTAAATTGTGGGGCTGGAGCTGTGACTTAGCAGGTAAAGCCACTACTGGCAGTGCTGGCATCCCATATTGGCTCCAGATCAAGTCTCAGCTGCTCCACTTCAGATTCCGCTCCCTGCTAATGTGCGTGGGAAAGCAGCTGAAGGTGGTCCAAGTCCCTGGGCTCCTGTACCCACATGGAAGACTCTGATGAAACTCCTGGCTCCTGGCTTTGGCCTTGCCCAGCCCCGGCTGTTGGGGCCATTTGGGGAGTGAACCAACAGATGAAATGTCTCCCTCTCTCTTTCTCCTTCTCTTTCTGCCTTTCAAATAAATAAATAAATCTTTAAAAAATAATAATTTTAAAAATAATTTTAAAAAGTAAATCACAGAGTTAATTTTATACAAAAAGCCAGGGCTCCAGAACGTTTCACTAGACACAATTTGGGTTTTCATTTAAGCTAATTTTGTTTTAGAATTTTTTTTTTAATTTTTTTTTTTTTATTTGAAAGGCAGAGTGACACAGAAAGAAAAGAAGAGACAGAGACAGAGAAAGGGATATTCGATCCACTGGCTCACTCCCTAAATGGCCACAATGGCTGGGGATGGGCCAGGCCAAAGCCAGGAGCCAGGAGCTTCTTCTGGGTCTCCCACATGGGTGCAGAGGCCCAACCAGTTGGGCCATTCTCCACTACTTTCCCAGGCACATTAGCAGGAAGCTGGATCAGAAGTAGAATAGTCAGGACTTGAACTGGTGTCTATATAGGATACCAGTTGCAGGCTTTGACTTTACCAGGTACTCCATAACGCCAGCCGTTGTTTTAGAATTTTAATGGTGAAAAGAATCACTATAGTCCTAAAGTTGTATTTACAAAAAAAATAGTTATACATTCAAAAAATAAAGTTTTAGATCAACATTTTTTAAAAAAAGAATTTTAATGAAGCTTCTTAATAATTAAGGACACTCTCTGGATATGAAAGTAGTTTCGAAATTTATTTTATTTGATTAATTTCTTAAAATATATTATAAGCCAATTTTCTTTAAAGTAGTAGCATAATCAGATTTTTTAGTTTGAAAAATAGCTCTCAAACATACCTCTTAAACACATTGTAATTATAAAATAAGGTTACTCCATTTTGAAGTTTTATAGAGGTATGAAAGGTAAGTAAATATTCTGTTTAACGCTCTTCTGGGACACAATTGTGGGAAGTTAAAAGGGCTTATACAATTAAAGTAGATTAAAATGGGCTCTTCCTGACTTGACTGAACTTGAAGATCTGAAGTAATGTTTTCATTTCAGTTGTGACTGTTTTGAAAATAGCAAACAAGATTTTCTGGTTATGTGTTATGGCTGAGGTTTCTAACCTGCCCCACTAAATGGGTGACACCCAGGCAATAACATGGTCTTAGTGTGTTTCTCTCTGTTTGTTTTGGCTGATCTCAATATGAAGACTTTTCTGAAAGCTTTTAAATCTTTTAAATTATAAGATTTACTACATGCTATATACCTTTTGTTTTAGTTTCTGTCTAGTTCTATAAAGAGCTTTAAGTTGAAACTTTCACAATGTACAGCTTCATAATTTATGAAAAATAGCAGAGGAAAATATCAAATTCTGGTGCATAATGAAAATTTGTTTTTCTCTCCTTTATTCTCATGTGAGTGAGTTATAATTTTTGTCCTGGGGAAGCTGGTATTTATTTCATTTGGGTTGGCTTTATGAATACTCCTTTCGAAGTTACTGCTGTTCCACTCATGATCAGTTTGGCAGTGTAAGCCTGTAGTTTCATATAACTACAGATAATCAGCATGACTCCATTGTGTAGTCCTCAGTCATTTCCTTCAGTGCAGGCAATGTAAGGACCAACCTGAAGCTTTCTTCTAGCCAACACAGAACTCTGATCTGATCTGCCAAAATTGGAAAAGATCAAAAAGCCAGGTATTGTTTCAACCAAGTAACTAACTAGCATACTTCACATATATTTATTTATTTATTTGGGATTTTGAAAATACTGAAAAGACCATACCAATATTGAAGGAGTTGGGACCAAACATTATTCCTCCATTGTGGGGGCCAGCGCTGTAGCACAGCAGGTTAAAGCCACCACCTGCAGTGCCAGCTCCCATATGGGTACTGGTTCAAGTCC